TGGTTGTAACTCCGTTTTGCTGACAACCATAAATGTTGTCTTAGAAGTATTAAGTTTTAGCCCATTAGCAAGTAAAATACTTGCAGTTGATCTATACGTTCCAGTTATTTCTTTTACCTTTTTGTAGATATTAAACGTGTCATTCTTTTTCTGCAGTTTTTCTATTTCAAGACATTTCTTGCTGTACCAGTTTTCCTTTGCATCCCAAATTTTCCTTCTGATTTTTATATAAATTTTATTGTATTTTTCAGTGTTTTTATTTTTCTGTTTTCGTCTGCTCTCCATTAGTCCAAATATTTCATCAGTCATCTATTTTTGTCTGCGATTATTAGTAGTTTTATACTTTTTAGTTGTTTCTTGCATAATTCTTTTGATTTCTGATGATTCCAGTGGTCTTCGACGTTATGTGTTTTTTTTTTCGATTTTTCGAACTTCTTTTTTATCTCTTGTGTAATTTCATCACTATTATTTTGAATACAGTCAGTGTTTATTCGGTTAGTCGGTTATTGACGTTTTACTATTTCAAGTTTGAGTTTTATGTCACTGATTAATAAGTTTTGATCTGAGGGGACATCGGATCCAGGTAGTGTTTTAGTTATTTTGATTGCATTTCGATACCTCTCGTTAATTGTTATATAATCGATCTGATTTCTTATAATTTTTTCTTTAGTGTCTGCTGGTGACTTCCAAGAATATAAACGACGCTTGGGTAGTTTGAAGAATGTATTTGTCACACAAAGATTTTTCTCTACGCAGAATTCTACAAAACGGTCTCCTCTGTCATTACGTTGTCCAAGTCCAAAATTCCCTACAATGTTTCCTTGTCTACCTTTTCCTACTTTGGCATTGATGTCCCCCATTATTATAGTAATGTCTTTGTTTTTCAGCTGACTCATTACCTTCTTTATACCATTATAAAAATTCTCTATGTCATCTTCACTACTGCTTGCTGTGGGCGCATAAACTTGGACCAGATTTATATCTACTGGTTTTGCGTTTAATTGCATCACGATAACTCTGTCTGAAATTTAACTTACAGATCTAATACAGGAAGAGATTTCTTTATCTACAATGAACGCGACGCCATTCCGGTGGTTAGTGCCTTCTTCTCCGGAATAGAATACATCGTGGTCGTCTATGTTACATTTACCAGTCCCTAGCCACCACATTTCACTTATCCCAAGAACTGGTATATTGAGCCTTATCATCTCGCGTATGGTGTTATGTATATTACCAGGCTCTTAGAGACTTCTCACATTTCATGTGCCTATTCTGATACCTGATTTTATTCTGATTTCTTTTCCTTTATCACATGGATTTCGCTGGATAACGGCCTGGGAAGCCCCGTGTGCCTGTCTTCTCCCGCCGGATCTTGGTGTCCGATGACCATGATCAGTATACCTTTTCTTATCATATGATAGTGCCATTATTATTGAACTAGGTAATAATAATGGGGTGGTTTCCCGTTGCCTTCCCCATCGCAGTATCACAACCTTTTAAAATGCTCCAGTCATGCTTGTGATAGCCCAGTTTCAAGCCGATCCAGGATTATTTCCTCTACGCCTTGAGCTGGTACTGATGATCGCTGCTGCCCTTCATCACATATAGCGATTCTATATAATTCCTAAAATCAAGGGATTGCCACTTCAGCCATCAGCACCGTACCGAAGGAATTCTTCTCCGCCGTGGCTGCCGTTGTGGACTTCATCCGTGACCCTGGACAAGGGATCCTAAGCAGGTACTAGTTTCCCGGGTCAGGAAACACTTGGAATCTGCGTAGGACAGGGATTGATTCATTTTTCCTTATAGTACTATCCAGAGGAGTTCCTACCCGCTACCCGTAGCAAGTTATAGTTATTTCTAAATATATGGCCTAGATACTAAGATTTTACACAGCTCCACTGACATCTTCACAGCAAACTATATAAAGTAGGATCGTTTTAGCCTGTCGCATAAGTAATAAAAGTGTCTGTTCAGACTTGGTAGTTAGCGGTTCTCAAATTAAAAATGTACGGTTTTCTTAATTTGATAATAGCACATTAGGGATTTTTTTAATAAAATAACTTTGTATTATGTTTTATAATAATTGAATACCATATTGTAAATTGATAAAGATTAAGTATACAATATACACGGTCATTCTTCATTTTTTAAATATTTGCATTCTTCTAGCACTTCCGGTTGTACCGGAAGTCGCCGTTGAGGCGACTTGATAAGTTGTTATTCTTTTTAGAATCTACGTAAAATTCTGGATCGATTTTTATTGGGATACCATTCTCAAAAAAATAGCCGTTTTTGAGATATTTAAAGTTTTTGAAAAATTTTTCATATTACACATGCAACTTCAAAAATTAATATTGTGATTAATATTTATGCGGAAAAAACAAAAATTCTTTTTCAACGTGTACTAAACTCTATTTTTATTTAAGCATAAAAAAGTTTGCCAATGTTAATACTGGGTGTTCAAAATTTTGTATTATATTTTTATTTTTATATATTTTATAAATATATCCATAAAAATATATATCTATTTAAAACAAAGACTTATTCCTACTTCCCACACACACCTTTCCAAACCCACCCAGGTGGTTTGTCCTCCTGCGGTACAACCAGCCCTGGCTTTCCTCCGCCTCCCGGTCTTTGGAGCCAGGTCTCAACCATTTCGCGATATCCCCTGTCAGGCAATGTGAGATTTCCGTGTATTTACATTTAAGTGGTAGGTTAGCCCATTTGGCTTTATCACTTCCTGTCAAAGCAATTGTTTGGCGATCTAATGATGGTTGTGTGTGCCGATACTTGATTTCCATTTTCTGCACCAAGTGCAGTCGACAGCGAGCAAGCATCGAATCCTTTCATCCGTCGTCTAATAAATACCCAGTCATTCGTCCAGTCATGTCCTTAATCTACCTTACTTGCTAATCTAATTTTTTTGGTGCTTGCATTCAAGAGCGTCGTGCGGCATGCCTCCTGCTCTCTCCTGCTTGCGGTTTTTGTTTTATTTTTTTTTGTTTTATTTTTTTTTGTTTTTTTTTTGGAGGTTAGTACCCTTTTTGTGTTAATTTTTCTATCTACGTCTTAATCTATGGACAGGTATCATCACTATCTGACTCGCTATCCGATTCATCTGAATCTTTATCTGTACGAATAATTAAAGGTCTTACTTCATCAATAACTTGTTCTATTTCATATGACTCTAAAATTTTTTTTTAGTATGCTCAATACATTTCCGCCATTGTTCCTCATTGACTTGGTTTAGTGCATCTTTATCATATTAGTTTTTAGTGATGCCCCACACCAATTCAATTGGATTGTACTGGCAGTGATATGGTGGTAGTCTTAGGACCTCATGAACGTATTTTAGTGCCATTTGGTCAACGACAAATTTTTTCTCAGTAATGTGTTCTTTGCACATATTTAATAATTCAGCTTTTAAAACTAGATGTTCTTATTTATATTTATTATCCATATATATATATATATATATATATATATATATATATATATATATATATATATATATATACCGGGTGGTGAATCGTCAAACGGACCATAGGAAACTCAATGGGAAATTTTAAATTGTTGAATTGCTGCTTCCCTAATTATTTTAGATCAAAAGTCATGAAAAACTATTTGTAGAGGACTAAAATCTGCATTAGAAACAAATGTTAAAACCGTTCTACGAATCAAATGTACTTCAAAATTTTGCAAAAATATAAAGATTTTTCAGACCACCCCTAAAAGTTAGGCCACACGTAATACAAGGATATATTATAACCAGAGATATCTTACATATCTCTGATTATAACGTGTGTTTTATCATATTAATGTCAGATGTTTGACAATTTGAATTGTCAATTTTTTTTTAATTTAGGATTAAATTATAAACAATGAATTTTACTAAATACTACTACTACTGAACAATATTACTTTGTGAACAATAAATTATATTGTTTAGAAATCGATCAATATAATGAAACGTACTCAGTTGACGAAAAATCGCATAATGTTGTATTCAGGCAATTAATAGCGCGAACCTTTTCCTGTCACTACCGGATCTTTATTTAACGTAAGATATTCTAATACACTAAAATTTAATTCCATGTTAAGTTATACAACAATTCAATGAATTCCAATATACTGTTAGTGTGATCTTTATTCCTAATAATAATATACGATAATTTCTAAACATAAAACTATAACAAATATTATAGTAAAACATGAATAAAATATTTTTATTATTGCTCTTTTCTCCTTAACTGAGTACATTTTTTAATCAACTTAATTTTTCTTTTAAATAATAAATCACAAAATTTTGGCCATTTAAATCATAGATAAATATAATATATTTCTATATTATTTATCTATGTATAATGAAGTTGATTTAAATATTGTCAAATATTAGAAACGTCAATATGACAAAACGCAACACGTAATACACATTCTTTTCACGGCGTCTGGCCTGACTTTTAGGGGTGGCCTGAAAAATGTATTATATTTTAGCAAAATTTTGGAATACGTTAAGTCGTAGAACAATTTTAACAATAGTTTTCGATGCATATTTGAGTCCTCTACAAATAGTTTCCCATGACTTTTGGTGTAAAATAATTAGGGAAGCAGGAATTCAACAATTTAGAATTTCTCATTGAGTTTCCTATGGTCCGTTTGGCGATTCACCACCCTGTATATATATATATATATATATATATATAACAATTAAGTAAAGTAAATGAAAAACATAACCAGTATAAGTTTAATACAGTTTTAAACACACCACCTGATTATCTTAGTGTGCACTGTAGATGTGTATTCTATAATCATATAGTAATGTTATGTATAACGTTTAGAATAAATCCTTAAATAAATATTACGAATGTGGTGCAAACTTATAATTCACTTTTAAGTCAATAACTTACATGCTTAGTACAAAATACTTTAAATACTTGCTCTTATATTAAACTTTCCTTAATTTATTCAAAATGTAATTAAATTTGATTTTGCAGAAGCGGTTTTACTGAACCTTATTATATTCCGTACGTGTTACGTCCTTCTGGGTCACGATAAAACAGAGTGCGGCTATCTGGGAAACAGCAACAATGAAACTATTACGGAAAACTTGGAAGAGGAGGTTCAGCCTTATGCTAATACCATAATGATGGTGAGAACAGCGACCGAGCAGTCCTTTAATTTATTGTTGTGTATGCTGGTTGGGCCTTGGTCCGATAAAATTGGAAGGAAACTGTTTATCATTACGAGTCTAGCAGGTAATTTAAATACATCTCAATCATATACATACATACTTTCTTCCTTAGCGAAAAATTTTCACATTTTTAGAAACTCCGTAGTGACGTTTATTCAAAAAAAATTTTATTAATTTCTAATCAACCGTTGGAATAATATAAAATTACTCTAATATTAAATTGTTATACTTTAAAAAAATTTGCCATTGTCAAGTTTGTCAGTTTTTTTTTAATTAGATAAAGGACAACTATTTATACCCTTTAAGGAATTGAAGGGGAACTATTTATCTACTGAGTGGTTTTGGCTTTAATATCGTTGTGATTCACATCCTGTTTAGACGCAGACCCTCTTTTCTTCAATTAAAATTGATGTGGTATTTTTGGTTTTCGATACCCGCTCTCAACGTCTATGGCTGGTAGTCCAATATCGTATTAGATACCTGTGTGTCGTAGAATATAATTTGCTGATTTTCTTGTATGTTGTTCTGCAACGGCTGAGTCCGTTGCAGTGACTGAAGCAATAGTTCCTTCTGTATTCAGATACACGATAATTTATATTAAATTTTGTTACTCCGATGTACACTATAATAATAATAATAGAATATGACATTTTGCTGGCGAGACAGCGAGAACTTTCGGACAGGTTCCGGCACCAATTGCATCTTTACCCCTGTTTCAGAACCATATGGTATGGTCGAACCATAGGGACAACTCGTTATCATTTTAGACTCATTATCATTTTTAGAAATAAAAATGCTAATGGATAATGCCGAGATTAGAACTCGTGTGCTCCGGGTTATTAGAAGTTCACTATCTGGGCCGCTGAGCTACGGCCATTCCCAATGTATACTAAACCGTAACTAGCTGGTGTGAAAAACTTCTGTTGGATCTTTGGTCAATTTAATACTTTCTTGTATCTTCTATCTCTTCGTTGGTTTGAAGATAACCTTAATATCATTTTTTTGCTAAGATTTTTTGAATTCAATTTATTATATTTTTAATATGCGCTAAGAAAGTTTTATCTTGCAAATTCTTGTTGTGAGCGGTAATTGCAATTGACTTTTGTTAGACGTATGCCTCAGAGCATGTCTATTTTAGCATGTCAAGGGTTTTTTAACTTTTAATTTTTGTTAAGATAGTGATTCGAGTTGTTCAAGTCACTGTCCCTATACCTTTATTTTCGGTATACTGTTTCCAAATTTTCCGTTGGGCACAGAGCTTAACTCAGCTGTTTACTAAAACTCAATAAATAAGATTTTTGTTATTTACTATTTTCATAACGAGTTTTAGCGTTTAGAAAATCTATTCTTGCAATAAGCGGAGTCAGTGGGGTCCCCATTTGTACCCCATATGTTTGATCATAAAAATTCCCCCATCCCCTTGAAAATATGGATATTTTTATAACACAGTGACGAAAAGATTTGTAATATTATGAAGATAGGAACTGAAACTACATCCGAAGTCAGTAGTCAGATATCCTTTCTTTCTCAATAAAATAATTAGAATCACTGGTTAAGTTTTTGACTGCCAATGGATGATTTTAGCAAAGCAGTCGGCACTAAAAATCGATCTTAAAGGAATATTTTTCTTCTGAATACCGTACAGTACTTAAAAAATCTCAATAACGATTCGGATCAACCGACAGAGATGAGTCTAGAAAACATTCAAGATATAGTTTTAGTGAGTGACAGAAGATTATGACCGCTGCGGAATCGCCTTAACATATAATGTTTGCAACAGTTACAGAGAAAACCTCAGAAAGAAACGATTGTGTACCATCATCATCTTGGTTTAAAATTACTGGCTTTAAAACACTTAATGAGTCTACCTTAATTAGTACATATTCCACTCTTTACGGTCTTGTGTCACCCCTTCCCACTGTCTCACCTCATTTTCTCCGGATACATTGCGCCACCATTCGTTTTCTCTTTGTATATTTTGCATTCCCACTGTAACGATAAATTGATTTGTTAGCAATTATGTAGTTATTTGTATGTGGTCTAAAAAGCTATATTTATTATTGACCGAAACATATATTTAACTAGAAATATAGATTTAAAATTTACATCTTCTACACCCTCTATTTTGCCTTTAAGGATCAGTTGTAAAATTTTATATCGACTTCCCCTTACTATTCCCTTACTATATGTCCCAGATAAGACATTTTTCGATGTTTACCAGTCTTTAGCAGTTCTCTGTCTTTGTTGACGCTCCTCAGTACTTCTTCATTAGTTTTTGTTGCTATCCAAGGTATCTTCAGCATTCGTCTATGAAACCAGATTTCCAATGCTTTAATTTTGTTCATAATCGATACTTTTAGCGTCCACACTTCTGCACTATACAAAAGTACAGACCAAACATAGCACTTAACCATTCTTTGCCTTAGTTCTAAACTGAGATGGTTATTGCAAAGAAATGACTTCATTTTTATAAAAGTAGTTTTAGTAATTGCTATTCTACGTTTTATTTCTATTCCTGGATCTAGTAGGTCCGCTATCACAGTTCCCAAATATGTCATATTGTGAACTTTCTCAACTTGGACTCCGTTCAATTGAAGCTTTGCATCGGGATATGTGACTAAACACTAAAAATTTGGTTTTGTTTGAGTTTATTTTAATGCCTATTTTCTCTCCTACTTCGTGAATACGATCAAGCAGAATTTGAAGACCTTTAATATTATCTGACAGAATTACTGTATCGTCTCCATATCTAATCACATTAAGTATTTCCCCGTTGATTTTTATTCCATATGGTTGTCTCTCAAGTGCCTTTTTAAATAGCTGGTCCGAGTAAACATTGAACAATGTTGGCGACAAAATGCAACCTTGTCTGACTCCTCGTTGTATGGGGATTTCATCGGTGTAGTTATCTCCAATTTTTACGATAGCAGTTTGATTCCAGTACAAATTTTTAATGACACGAATATCCTTGTCATCTATTCCGATATTTTTCAGTATTTGCATTAATTTTACATGCTGTACTTTATCGAATGCCTTTTCAAAGTCCACAAAACATGCAAATACATCTTTTCTTTGGTCACGCCATTTTTGAAATAGGATGTTAAGTGCAAAAAGCCTCCTTGGTTCCCATAGCATTTCTAAAACCAAATTGGGTATCTTCAAGATCTTCTTCGCATTTGCGTCTAATTCTGTTGTGAAGTATTCTGGGAAAAATTTTAAGAGTGTGGCTCATTAGGCTAATTAATCGATATTCTGAGCATTTTCTCGCATTGTGTTTTTTAGGTATTGCGATAAAGATGGATTTGAGCCAATCTGCGGGAATCACTCCGGTGTTATATATTGAATTAAAAAGTCTTACCACTACTTTTATGTTATCATTCTCTATTAGTTTCAGCAAGTCAGTTGGTGTATCATCTGGACCACAAGCTTTTTATAGCATGTTTTACTTCGCATTTCATAATTTCTGGGCCGTCAGTACAGTTATGGTAGAATTCGACAATATTATTCCTGTCATCTTCAAAGAACTCTGATATATACAGCTGCCATTCTTTTCTTATTTCTTGCTCATTTACAATAATTTTTTATAATGTCAACAAGTACAGAGGGAACTCGTTTTTTAAATAAATTACTCATTTCTTTCAGTTTTTTGTGCATATTAAATAAGTCGTGTTTAGATATTACATCCTCCATTTCGTCGCACCTTTCTCTCATCCATTTTTCCAAATACCTTTTTACATATTTAAAATTAAGTTCTCTCGATGATCGGGTAGTATATTTAAAAATGATTTTAATGTTAAATGGTATTTAAAAAAATTAATAATTAGAATTTATCTTGATTATTGTCATATCATGATATGTATCTAAAAATTTTTCCTCTTATTAGTATCCACTTTAAATATAAATTAAGGATTGTATATAAAAAATAATAGTGATCAAAACATGCAAAAATTACGGAGACATACCCCATCAAAGAAAATATAACTAATAACAGATGTATTTTCTTTTTTTGTATTCACCACCATACGGAAATATTCAGCTTAGTAATAATATGCTGAAGCAGGATAAAGAAGGTAAAAACTTAATGTGAATTTCTTTGATTTACTATACTGGCTTTGATCGTGGCCTTTACAGGTTCTTTTAATAGATGATAACCTGCTTCCCAACCAACACGTTGTTGAATTACGGACACTCTATCACATCCAGTCTAATAAACAAGCCGGTGGGAATTGTTAAGGAAACCATACTAGGTGTCTCAACAATAAAATCACAAAAAACTTTCACTCCTATCTCTGGCGGGCGAACAAACACAGACATTTTTACTTGACTCTCGTATGGGCTAAACTATAAATTGATGGTACTGGGATAATCTCAGCAAAAATGCCAGACCCTCGGCTTGTTCATGATCTTAAGCGAAAATGAATGCAAACATTCGTCTCTGCAATGATTATTCACAAAACCTTGGATCTCCAGCCGCATCGGCTATTTTCAATGTAAATAAATGATCTAGTTTATTCTATTTGATGGTTTTAAGACGCAGTTATTACAAAGAAAGCGTTGCTTAAGTGTAACGCGTTGTTTAACGCGTTAATTAAGACTGTCTAAGCAGTGATTATTCGGCGAAATTAAGCCTATATCTAAACAAACACTCATAGTATGTCTTCTCGTTCGAAATTTAAGTGCTTATAATACGTAGCTTAAAACCTTATATAAAATAGAATTTGAAATAAATTTAAATTTTATATAGAACGGAATTTAGAAATGCTGCACCACAACAGTAATTTATTAATTTTTTTGTTAATTTTCATGCTTCTGTACGCTACTGTTGCCCATTATATGGTCTTGTAGATTTTACTTTTGGTACCTCGTGAGAGAAGTTTTAACCTTTCCAAATTTTGACTTACAAATAAAGATCTATTTCCGGCGCAAATATCAGGTTTAATATTTTTGGATAAATTTTTCTCATGGTATTACTAGGTTAAATAACTATGGAGACAACGGATCTCTCTGTCTTACTTCAGAGATAACGAGGAAAGCATTTGATGGTTTTCCTTCGATCCAAACTTG